CTAGGGCTCGCCGATTAAACTGCTATTTAGCAGGTGTTGTGGTCCATTATCGCGAAAGAATGATGGATCTTTCTCTGACTCTATGTCACGTGAAAAGACCACTATAGTCACTGCAGCTGCTTATCCTCACACGTCACGCCCATCGTGGAATCAAAGTGTAAAAAGCAATGGAATCCCTTATCATCTGAAAGGGATACAATTTACAGATCACCAAAAGAGAATGTAAAAAGTATGAACGTGGTGTTTCGCTTCATCGTAAAAAGAGATGGCCCCTCTAGTATAGCTACAATCTGATGGCCCAATCTCACGCACACCGTGCGAGGGCGGGCGTGGAATCTTCATCAATGAAAATGTTCAGTTTGGTGGATACAATATGCTTACGCACGCTATAATTATACAGTATAGAGCTGTGACCATTCACGATTTAAAATGTCTACCTTCTCTTTATAGCTTATACAGTAGCCGACTGCCTTCCTTTAGCTTACCCGCCTATTAACGTGAGGTTTCAGCCATTTATGCATGACTGCTGCATCACATTTGTAAAAGTAACCTATTCACCAAATGGCTACATTGTAAAACTAGGAATCCTCTAGCCTATATGGACAATATGTGTTGACAACGATATTGTAAATAAATAATTTAAAACACCAGCTGTAGCCTATTTTCTCCACACTCTGACAAACGGCCACTATAGGCTATAGCTGATCATCCCGCTATAGCCTACGCTACATTACATCCATCACGATAAATAAATATCCTGGAAACAGAAACAATGTAGTTTTATTGTCACGGTTCTGCAGAGAACTGTCCCAGATAGTACCTGTTAATCCCCGGGCCGGGTCCGGCCCCCGTCCCTCCCGTTGGCGCACCATTGCTGGGCTTGATGAGCTGTCCAGAGCCTGCTGGTGCTGAAATGGAAGTCGAAGCCCCCGCGGAAGGAACAGCGGAGCCGGGCTGTCCCGGCTGGCCCTCTCCCTCGATGCTGCCTTCGTTCCCCATCGTCTCGGGAGATGATTCGGAGGAGAGAAACGAAGTTGTAGAGGGTTCTACAGTTAGAATAAAAACTCAGAAGAAACTCAATGCTGCTCCCCTTCCGCCATCATCACCTATAATTCTGTTTCCTGCACGGAGCACGCGCACAGAGGACGCGAGCTGACGCAAAAGGGAGTGAGCACGTACGGGCGCGTGCCCTAACTCCTCGTTTGTGTCGCCTGCCAAGACACTTGAACCCACCGAACCTCTATGAAAAACATACATTTTCCAATATAAGAGGCAATCTGAACATTAAACTGTCATTCATCTCCATTTTCCACTGCATGTTACGTAGGTAGGCCTAGTGTTTGTTATAGGCCTACTATGCTCCATGGAGAGGCTTGTCTCTCTAACAGTGGACCAATTACAGTGGTGCTCTCCAGGTTGTGCAACCTGTTATGCTCTGAGACAGATTGAAAATAATGTGCACTAAATAGAATCTACCAAATCTTCAATGAAGCCTGCACTTTCTCTTCCTCTTTAAAAGGCTACATTCTCAAAGGGCACTAGACAGAGCATACATCCCAAATGGCACCCTATTCCCTATTTAGTGCACTACTTTTGACCAGGGCCCATAGGGCTCTGATCAAATGTAGTAAACTATATAGAGAATAGGGTGGTATTTGGGAGGCTGACAGATTCCCTGTCCCCCTGTCTGTCCTCTCTGGCCACTGTTTCTGTGACTATTGATCAGTTGACTATTGATCAGCTCCAGGCGCTGTGCTCAGCTCTGCAGGACCCAACGGATGTCATTTCCTCCCAAGCCAAGGCTACTCCATCATTGATAGGGCTATCTACAATCTCTCCCCTCAGCACCACTATCATTCATTCACACTCCTGCGAAAAACCCGGTCATCACTAGCTTCTATAGCCACAAAGTCATAAACCCTGCCTATTTCACAAAGTATCTTCTTAAAGTTAGATTTTAAACCTAACCTTAACCACACTGCTAACCTTATGGCTAACCCTAACCTTAAATGAACATAAATGATAGAGGTGGTAAATAATAATCATGTAGAGCATGGCCGGCTGGCCCATTAGGCAGGATTAGGCTACCGCCTAGAGCGGCATTTTGAAGAGGGCGGCATTTTCCGAGCTAAACTGACCAAGACGCACCTCCAACAACACATAACACCTCACATTATTCTGCCCAAAAACAATGATAACTTCTCTCACCCAGTGGCATAAGGGCTATTTAGGTGAGTGCTGATGCCGCCCCAAGATAAGCAGTGCCCACAAAATATTTATCTTATCCATGCCCTGCGCGCCTTTCCAGGGTGCTGTTGAAGAGACGCAGCGCAGCAGCATAATGAAAACAGGCATAGGGTCAGGGCTTAAGTTAAGGTTAAAATGAGGTATAGTTTCAGTGAGGGTAAGGTCAGGATTAGGGTTAAGGAAAGGCATAAACGTTAACATCGGGTTAGCATACCGCCATCTGCCGCCATTCATTTCCTGCCTAAAATAACAAAAAATAAAATGTCAACTCCAATGTAGTCATGTCAATGCACTGTTGGCTCTGAGTGAACCTGCGTCCCAAATGCCACCCTATTCCCTATATCTTTAGTGTGCATGGTCAGCTCTGTCATGGTGGTGTGACAGTGCCATTGGGTTAATGAAGATTAGAAGGTTAAACCAGTACACCGGAACAAGCCCTATTTAATACATAAACTCAACATTCATAATGACACTTTTCCCCTAGAAAACCCCCAAACCGAGGTTTAGCCTATATTTTAACGCAAGCCTCATAGAAGACTGGATATGTGGGTGAGAGGTGGCCTTACCTTCTTGTGCCAGCATGGATATGAAGGTGAAGATGAACTTGTCATAATTATTGGTCCTCCTCTGGTCTTCGATCTGGTCAAAACATGGTTAGAAATCTTGATTAACACACCAACATACAAACACACACATACACTGAGTATATCAAACATTAGGAACACCTTCCTAATATTGAGTTGCTGCTTTACATGGTGTCGACTTTGGGTGGTGGACCATTAATGATACACACTGGAAACTGTTGAACATGAAAAACCCAGCAGCGTTACAGTTCTTGACACAAACCGGTGCGCCTGGCACCTACTACCAAACCCCGTTCAAAGGCACTTAAATATTTAATCTTGCCCATTCACCTTCTGAATGGCACACATACACAATCCATGTCTCAATTGTCTCAAGGCTTACAAATCCTTCTTTAACCTGTCTCCTCCCCATCATCTACACTGATTGAAGTGGATTTGACAAGGGACATCAATAAGGGATCATAGCTTTCACCTGGATTCACCTGGTCAGTCTGTCATGGAAAGAGCAGGTGTCCTTAATGTTTTGGATACTCAGTGTACACCCACCGAGATACTGTAGCTTTGGATGCAAACACACACAGGGGATGATGGAGAATTATTTTCTCTGGGTGCATATATTAATATTGTACAATGTGCCTAAAAGTCTCCAAAGTGAAACCATTGGAAGGAACCCATGTGGCGAGAGGCCTTGCTGACCATGGAGAAGTGTTGATGATATAACTGTATGTGACTAAGGGGGTTCAGCAGCACATCCTGGAGTCATTGCTACACCTCGTGGACATAGGCAGCAACTACACAACATGGCAGCTTGGACATTCTCTCAACACTCACTCACTCATCCCAGTCGTGCTGGCTGGCGCATAGGGCCACAGCAAAGGCTCCTCAATTCTGTCGGCCATCTTCTGCACCGTGCCCCTGCTCTACTGATGTTGCTGGAGCTCAGTCTCGACTCTTCTCTGCTATGATGTCTTGGGCTTCCCCCTCTGGAGTACAATGGACAGCCATTCTTGGAATGGAGTCTATTCTTCCTTAGAAAAGTATCCAGCTCCAGCGATGTCTCAACATATAAAGCTATTGTAACGATCCTCGCTATATGATGCATGTTACAATTCCCACCAAGTAGATGAGTCCTATTGGCGCGAAGCATAAGTAAGGTGTTTGCATTTCACGCCTCAGCAGGTTCACTTTCTGCTCACTCCGTTCGTGACACTGAGGTCAGAGACGATGGTAGCGGACTTAACTCGGTCTGCTAAGAGGTTGGAAGTCTCTTTGTTAAAGTAATGGAAGAAATGCAGTCAAAGTCAAGTCCATGTGATTTTCTTTTATCTCACCAAATATATGACCCAGAGCATCCATCTATGTATGACATGATGAGAAGTGAGTGAGGTCAATAGTGCTTTTGTGGAGTTTATTGTAGTATTCATGTGACTAGGATAAAAAAAAACACTTATGTTACCACTGATGCTGAGCTGACACAAACAGATACATATGTACAGAAACATACACACTGCTTACACACTCCCCCACACATATACCATGCTCTCCAACGATTAGAATCTAAATTTAGAGATAATTTACAGATAAAAAAAACAATACGTGTAGATCTCCATTCATTTACAGGACCTCGAAAGAGATACAGGTTACGTCCCAAATGGCACCTTATACCCTATATATTGAACTACTTTTGATAAGCGCCCCAAAGGTAGTGCACTAAATAGGGAGCTACTTGGGACGCCCCATACAGTACTACCAAAGCATGATACAAGCAAGCAAATAGCAGTGAACAAGCCCTTCTTGACAGGAAAGAGGAGTCACATCACATGATCAGACCAACTCCAAGACTTCCAAGCAGCTTCCTGTGTCCCTCACAATCAGTTGTCACACCTTTGTGTTCATTAGGCACCAAATGGAAGAAACCAGACTGAAACAGGGAGGAACTTCCTGGAATTGCAAACACTCACTTTCGTTTTCCTTTGTAAAACGTTCAAAAAAGTTTGCCGCCGCGTGCCTAATGAACACGACCCAGTACACAGTGTGATGGCACAGACAGAGGTCCTTTTACATGGGGACTAAGTGTCTGTCCCAAATGGCACCCTATTCCCTATATAGTGCACAACATTTGATCAGGGCCCATAAAAAGTAGTGCACTATATAGGGCTCTGGTCAAAAGTAGTGCACTAGGGAATAGGGTGCCACTTGGGACACAATCTAACATACAGTACATACATCTGATAAAAAATTACTCTTCCTCTTACAGTAAAGCAAACATAATCTGATTAAATTAATCAACAGATGGTCCATTGGATGAAGTCAGAGACTGACATTAAAATACAGCAATATGAATGAGTCCTTTTCTCCCTGAAGTCACAGGACAGTGTCATGAGTGCAACAAGGGTTTTTGTATTTTCTCTGCTGTGATTGGTGATCGGTGACCCCAAGCAAGCACTTCCTGGGGTCACTGGCGCTTGGCCTTGTAGGGTCGCGAGCGTTTCCTGCGGTCTGGTTTCCTCTGTTTGTGTAGACGGCCGATGCTCACTCCCTGACGACGACGCACAGAGATATTCTGCTCGACCAGACTAGCCAACATGCCTGGGGAGAGAAGGAGAGCGAGAGATCAGAAAGAACTCCATTGATTTAAAGAGGTTCCTGTAAAATTGCCTCTGATCTAGTAAATGTTATATCACATTTTCCTACATGAAATCAGATAAAAACAGTTGTCAGAGAGGGAGATGTGGAGAGAGAGCACCATTTGTGGACCACTCTCAGACAGTGTGGGTCTCTGACTGCACAGCAGGGAGGTTAAATATAGAACTCAGGGATTAGCTAATAAGCAGAGAAAGAATAAGACCGGATGTGTGTGCATGCATGAAAATCCACCTTTTGTTCTACCAAAGGAAAGGGGTGAGAGGTGGCCTTACCTTCTTGTGCCAGCATGGATATGAAGGTGCAGATGAACTCGTCATAATTATGGGTCCTTCTCTGGTCATCGATCTGGTCAAAACACAGTTCAACATTTTCATTAACACAACAACATACAAACACACCACACATAACACACACATCATCACATAAACCCACCCACATAGCTGTGGATTTCTGTGATCAAACTCATTAACCCCACTACTTAGGAACTGTATTATTCTGTATAATAACCTTGTATTTCTTCCTCTTCTCCACCTCCTCCTTTAAAAACACTTCATAGTTGGCGATGTCCGCCTCCACACACTTGAGCAGAGCAAGCAGCTCCTGCAGGAAACAAGAGATAGAGAAGAAATCAACTAGGTGACATTTGGTTATAACATCAATCTGTTATATACAGCAAGTCAACCTCTAGCTCGAATGAGCCAATAGACACACAATACAGCGAAAGATGATGAATTTGAAAACAAAGAGAAAGAGATGCTAAATGAGAGTGGGAAAGAGGACAATAACTCCAAAGAAGAAAAAGAAAACGTGAAAAAAAGGATTGAGGAGCCATAAAATACAGAAATCTCCAGATGTTTCTAGCAAGAAAGAAAGAAAAAAATAGACTTACTTTAGGAGAGTATTTTTCCCCTGAGGGCTTGTTGCTTCCAACGGTTTCCGTGGAGATGACCTTTCCCTTGCTGGGCTTGACATCTTTGCTCTCCTCCTCTTTCACCTCCACCGATGGTCCCTCCTTACCTTCCTCCTTCAAACCTTCCCCCTTTCCTGCTGGGTTGCTCCCTTGCTCTTTGTCTTTTACCTTCTCTGGAGCGCCTGACTTTTCTCGCTTGGACCCCTCAGGATCAGCTGCACAGGCACAGAAACAACATCTATTGAGCAATAAACCCCAACAAAGATTCATCATTGCACACTGTATAAAAAAAACAAGAGTTTCTTATTAGACAAATTCAGGTAGTCCCTCCCTGTTTCAGTCCATTTTCTTCCGTTTAGTTTGTAGTGAACACGTCCCAGCTATTAACTCACCATCAGATTCAGCGGTGTCACCTTCCATACAGTTCTGTCTGGCTAATAGGAATGTGTATCTTTCCCTTTCAAGACGATTTGATACATGGGCTCCGATAGGATACAGGAACGATACGTTTTAGTGCGATTCGGTTTGATTAGAGAGCGAATCGATGAGATTCGGTTCGATACGATGCACTAACATTTGTTGCATAAACACATTCATTTTACATTCAAAATTACAATCTGCTTCTGATGGAGCTCATGAGTTGGGTCTCTCTGAGCTGGATCTGTGTGTGTGTGTGTGTGTGTGTGTGTGTGTAAATGACGTACACTACCAGTAAAAAGTTTGGACACACCTACTCATTCAAAGGTTTTTCTTTATTTTTAACATTGTAGAATAATAGTGAAGACATCAAAACTATGAAATAACACATATGGAATCATGCAGTAACCAAAAATGTGTTAAACAAATCAAAATATATTTCATATTTGAGATTCTTCAAAGTAGCCACCCTTTGCCTTGATGACGGCTTTGCACACTATTGGCATTCTCTCAACCAGCTTCATGAGGTAGTCACCTGGAATGCATTTCAATTAACAGGTGTGCCTTCTTAAAAGTTAATTTGTGGAATTTCTTTCCTTCTTAATGCGTTTGAGCTAATCAGTTGTGTTGTGACAAGGTAGGGTGGTATACAGAAGATAGCCGTATTTGTCCAAGTCCATATTATGTCAGGAACAGCTCAAATAAGCAAAGAGAAACGACAGTCCATCATTACTTTAAAACATGAAGGTCAGTCAATACGGAATATTTCAAGAACTTTGAAAGTTTCTTCAAGTGCAGTCGCAAAAACCATCAAGCGCTATGATGAAACTGACTCTCATGAGGACCGCCACAGGAATGGAAGACCAGAGTTACCTCTGCTGCAGAGGATAAATTAATTAGAGTTACCAGCCTCAGAAATTGCAACCCAAATAAATGCTTCACAGAGTTGAAGTCACAGACACATCTCAACATCAACTGTACAGAGGGGACTGTGTGAATCAGGCCTTCATGGTCGATTGCTGCAAAGAAACCACTACTAAAGGACACCAATAATAAGAAGAGACCTGCTTGGGCCAAGAAACACGAGCAATGGACATTAGACCGGTGGAAATGTGTCCTTTGGTCTGGAGTCCAAATAGGAGATTTTTGGTTCCAAGCGCTGTGTCTTTGTGAGATGCGGTGTGGGTGAACAGATTATCTCTGCATGTGTATTTCCCACCGTAAGCATGGAGGAGGAGGTGTTATGGTGTGGGGGTGCTTTGCTGGTGACACTGTCTGTGATTTATTTAGAATTCAAGGCACACTTAACCAGCATGGCTACCACAGCATTCTGCTGCGATACACCATCCCATCTGGTTTGGGCTTAGTGGGACTATCATTTGTTTTTCAACAGGACAATGACCCAACACAACTCCAGGCTGTGTAAGGGCTATTTTACCAAGAAGGAGAGTGATGGAGCGCTGCATCAGATGACCTCAACCCAATTGAGATGGTTTGGGATGAGTCGGACGACAGAGTGAAGGAAAAGCGCTTAGCATATGTGGGAACTCCTTCAAGACTGTTGGAAAAGCATTCCAGGTGAAGCTGGTTGAGAGCATGCCAAGAGTGTGCAAAGCTGTCACCAAGGTAAAGGGTGGCTATTTGAAGAATCTCAAATATAATATATATGATTCCATATGTGTTATTTCATAGTTTTGATGTCTTCACTATTATTCTACAATGTAAAAAATTGTAAAAATAAAGAAAAACCCTGGAATGAGTAGGTGTTCTAAAACTTTTGACTGGTACTGTAGGTCTATGGTGTAGGTACTATGTAGGCACCTGAGCTGAGCCATAAGGGAGACTAGGTACCACCCCACTACCAGATTAGAGGGGGGCAATGTAGCCAGTTTTCTGTTCCCCCACTTTGGTTCTGAAATCACCATCACCCACTAATTAACTTGTCATTTCTGCAGAAGTGTTTGAGCTAGTAATGCATCAAAATGTATCGATTCCAAATTAGCTATGACATCGCCAATGAATATAAAGCACAACTTTGGATTTCACCCCCATCTCAAAATCTAATGGTTTTGACAATTTGGACGTTTTTACGGCGTCATCTTCTCCTCTCGCTTCGGCCATGCAGTGCACCTCGCAAAAGTGATTGCTGTCCTCATTATGCAATTATCACTTTACCCTGTATATCTAAAAATGACCATATACACTGACATAGACTGACCAGGTGAATCCAGGTGAAAGCTATGCTCCCTTATTGATGTAACTTGTTAAATCCACTTCAATCAGTGTAGATGATGGAGAGGAGACCGGTTAAATAAGTATTTTTAAGCCTTGAGACATGTGTGCCAATCAGAGGGTGAATGTCAAAATATGTAAGTGCCTTTGAACGGGGTATGGTAGCAGGTGCCAGGCGCACCAGTTTGTGTCAAGAACTGCAGCACTGCTGGGTTATTCACGCTCAACAGTTTCCTGTGTGTATCAAGAATGGTCCACCACGCAAAGGACATCCAGCCAATTTGACAACTGTGGGAAGCAATGGAGTCAACATGAGCCAGCATCCCTGTGGAATGCTTTGGACACCTTGTAGAGTCCATGCCCCGATTAATTGAGTCTGTTCTGAGGGTTAAATGGGGGGGGGGGGGGGGGGGTGCAACTCAATATTAGGAAGTTGTTCCTAATGTTTGGTATACTCAGTGATTGTTTAAAGCTAAACTACCAAAACTATTGCTGATGGTGAACAATCAAAATAAAATCTATTGTCAGCAGGTACAGCCAATGAAAGTTCTGTCTCCTATAGCTTACTTCTATTCCGGTAAAACACAATTTTCAACAGTGTATAGATAACTATAACCTAGCAAATGATATAGGTAGTTACTCAACTAATAAAGCCTAATATCATGCAAGCTATTTTAGCAATTGAATGCTGAAGGTGCCACGCAGATGTGCGAGATCAGGCAGCCTACCTCGCGTTGGTCAGCGCGTGAAGCTGGGCACAATGTGCAGTTTGACTAAGCTACCGATATTGCATGGGATTGTTCGGCATGCAAAATGACTGTCAACACAGTTACATGCAGTTCGACACTGAAAGATGAGAGGTATTTTCAGAAGGTAAAAATAATGTAATATGAGCAAAACATTTTCGTGAACCGCCGATTCGTAACGTTTGAATCGATTTTCTGACTGATGCATGCTACATTTGGATCGGTTTGTGGTCCGCGGATCGATGCACTTGTATCGTAAACATTTGAATCGGGGACCGATGCGTATCGGTGAATTGTTACATCCCTACCAGTTAATGCATTGTTTAGCTCTTGCATGTCCAGAGCTGTGTCAGTCTGGTATTAGATTAGTATAATCCAGGTATTAATATGGTTTATGTAATTAGGTCTGAAGGTAAGCAGCTGCTCTTTGATAATAATCTTAAATCGAGTGCCCATGTTCACTTCCCCACAGGTCCAGTCTCTCACTCTACCTATCTCTCACACACATACACACACACGTCCATCCATCCATCCTCACCGGGTGGCGGTACAGCATATATAACCCCGTCCTCCTGTAGATGCAGCAGGGCGGTGCTGACGGAGGGCCCCAGCTCTCTAACAGCCCGGTTGTGTCTGGCGTCCAGCCTCAGCAGACCCTCGTCCTCCCCGAACAGCACCCGGGACAGGTGGGACGCCACGGGGCTGGAGGGCCGCGTTGCCACCTGGGAGCGAGCCGGGGAGCGCAGTGGCGAGTTGAAGGCGCTGCCGATCTCCGAGGCGGTGTCGGTGCTCTCATTGCTGGGCGTGGGCGAAGGCTGCGAGGCGGCGGTGATCACGATGCCCCCCGTGCGGCCCTCAGTGCGGACTGAGAGGGGCGTGGCCAGAGCGTCCTTCCTCTGGACTTCCTTCTTGAGTTTCTCGGCCAGGACACTCAGCGCCAGCTTGGTCTCCACGCCGCCGCCGCCTACACGGCCCGTACGGGAACGCAGGCCCGCCTTCCGCCTGAACCTAAACACACACACACAAACTATCAAGTCCCGAGGGGAACATTTTGGATTCAATTAAAAATAAGTGGTACATCGCTTTTTAGTCTGAATAACACCAAACACCTAAGGCCTTTACCACAGTCTTAATGGAAACACCATGCGATATGGAGCTGACCATAGAAATAGAATAGAATGACCATAGAAATAGAATAGAATGACCATAGAAATAGAATGACCATAGAACTAGAACAACTCTAGTTGTGTGGAGCTGACCTGGTGGGTGTGCCCGCTGCTGTGACAGTTTCTACCTCCCCATAGTCATCATCGTCAGAGTAAGGGGGCTGGTTTGTGCCAGGCACCCGGGGACGACCTACCCCCGTCACCCCTGCCGCAAGGTCCTCCTCCTCCTGTCAATCACAGAGAACAACCAATCATCTACCTTGTCACGGCAAACATATAGTATTGGTCCATGGGGCCGAATCCTAACTTGAGATATGTGTATGTAAGTCAAGCCTGTTGTGAAAATCATCACGCATTGATGTTAATGAGAGTTATGTGAGGAAATTTGAGTTGTGTCACATCATAACCAATCCCCCTCCTCCTGACCTGCATGGGGGACTTGGCGTAGTTGTGGTTGTCCAGGAAGGCGGGCAGGCGCGGGACGATTAGGGTGGGGCTGTTGACAGGCTGCGTGGCTCCCCCTCTCCCCGATGGGGCGGTTGGTTTCCCCATGGCCTTCCCTTTGCTTGAGGGGGTGGGAGTCGACTGGGACTGGGCTGCTGCACCGTCCGCAGAACAGGGGGAGAGACAGTGAGAAATTCATGGACGTCAGTGGAACTGTTGCAGCACATCATACCCTGAGACAGGATGAACCCCAAATGGCATCAAATTCCCTTTATGGTGCACTACTTTTGACCAGAGCCCATATGGTTATGGTCAAAAATACTGCACTACATAGGCCAGGGGTTCTTAAACATTTTCAGCCTGGGACCCAAATTAGAAATTCTGTGTTTTCCTGGGACCCAAGCTTAGGAAAATATGCAACTATATGTAAATATCAGTACATTACATTGCCCTTATGCCTAAAACAAATGCCATATAGACAAAATTCAAATAACAATGAAATTAAATATCCATATAAATATCTATTCATGTTTATTTTCCCCCATTAAAAACATTCTTACATATCTGTATAGGTTGGAACTGTTGCTGTTAAAATACAATAAATCATTTTTCATTCTGAACTGGAATAAACCGATTATAAACGAAATAAACGGAATAGGGTGCCATTTGGGACATACAAACGGACTCACAGAAACCCTTCTTCGTGTCTATAAAGGTAATCTACATTGGGGAGGTTGGAGCTGAATTTAATACCTGTGGGAGGAGTCTGCTCGGCCCCCTGTGATGTAACAGGTTGAGGATCTGCCTCTTCTTTTTTGATAGCAGGGGGCGTGTCCTCCGAGGGGGAGGAGTCCTGCTGCTTTCTGTCCTGGACTAGCTCTGGCTGGGTGACCCGGATCAGCTGGAGAACAGGTCACATTCAAGTCAAGTCAATCAGACACACGTGGTCTATTGGTATGGGTGCATTCGTTTTAGCTCGCCAGGGGCACTGGTTGGGTAGAGTTTGCACATTTTAGACCATTCTATTGATCCTAAAGTGAAATCTCTGCTTAAACGGGACACCGGGCAAGCTAAAAGGAACACACCTGATCAGATACACCCCAGTGAGAAAGTGTGGGTGTGTGTGTATCAATTGGCTCCTCTGTGCGTGTTTCCTGACCTGCTGTAATCCCTCCAGAACGATCTGTCTGTTCCTCTTGAGGATCTCTAGTTTGGACTCATACTTCACCCTGCGGTCAGGAACCACTGCCATCAGGTTGAAGCGAATATCATGGTATGGCTCTCTGAGAGGCGAAAGAAAAGTGTGTGAGTGAGTGTGTGTGCGTAACATCTCATTCAGTGTTACTGAGGCAGGAGATTGGCCTCAGACTCACCCAGCTGTGGCCAAACCAATCCTCTCCATGATGACCCGTCGCGCCTTATCTGTCCACTCCTCCTCCTCTCCCCATGGCCCTGAGAGAGCGAGAGAGAGAGGCGAAGGAAGAAGAAAAGCTTTCATCTCGAGCCCATGTGGTCACCCTATTGACCCTGGCCAAGAGTAGTGGACTACATAGGGGATAGGGTGCCATTTGAGAATGAGCCATTGTGGTCTCACAGTAGTCATCAAGTGTTGTATTGTCACACAGTAGATTAGAGAAGTCATAGCAATGTGCTTTCCTTGACATTCCAGCTCTATGAAGACGCTAGGCCAGGGGTTCTTAAACTTTTTCAGCCTGGGACCAAACGAGAAATGCTGTGTTTTCCTGGGACCCAAGTTTAGGAAAACATGCAACTATAAATAAATATCAGTAAATGTCATTGCCCTTATGCCTAAAACAAATGCAAAATAGACAAAAACAAATAACAATTAAATTAAATATCCATATAAATATCTATTCATGTTTATTTTCCCCCATTAAAAACACTCTTATATATCTGTATAGGTTGGAACTGTTGCTGTTAAAATACAATAAATCATTTTCATTCTGAACTGGAATAAACTGATTGATCACATCACACAGATGAAGAACAGAACACACACTCAGTTTTTGATAGTGCAACACTAAGTAACAGTACAGATGAAATGATCAGGCCTACCGTACATCTTACTGTAGAAAGTAATGTTGAAAAAAAGGTTGCAACTGTTGCTGTTAAAATACAATTTTAAAAATGGTATTCTAAACTGGAATAAACTGATTGATCACATCACACAGATGTAGACCAGAATAAAACACACACAGTCCTAATGAGAGGTGTGTGGCTGGTTGAAGTTTTCAACAATCATGTCTATTCTGGGCTCAGTTTTTGACAGTGCAACCCTGAGGTCATGCTCAGCATTGAGTCTATTTCTGTACTTGTTTTTTAAGGACGCCAGAGTTGAGAACCCTGACTCACATAGGTATGTGGTGCCAAACTGGATCAGAACATCTACTGCTTTCTCAGGCAGGCAGGAGACCGCTTCCTGCTGTAGATAAGCAACCCAGAACTGTGAGTGTTTGCCTCAAAAAGCATATTGCTTCAATCAGTTTATTCCAGAATAAAAATGATTACTTGTATTTTAACAGCAACAGTTCCAACTTAGATTTGCTTTCAACAATAAGTGTCTACAGTAAGATGTACTGTTACTTATGGTGCACTATCAGTAGCTAGCTAGCTTGCTTGCTTGCTTTGGCTAACTTTAGCTAGCTAGCTATTAGCTGTGTACAAGGGGATTGTTTGGAAGAGAAACTCACATCTACAACTATGAGAGATAGTACTTCCTTATTTCTGCTTATCGTCACCTGTTGACAAAATGACAACAATGCCTTGCTAGCTGACTTACTTTTCCACTGTCGAAGCACTGTTTCCTGAAGCATTCTGCCCTGTTCTGAAAGAACTCCCTGGGTTCCTCGTTATTTCTCAAAGTTTGTATGAAACCAAGAGAGAGAAACTCATCGCTGTATTTGCGTTTCATGATGATTGAGCTCAGTCAGAACTTGTGGCTAGCTTGAGTCCATTTGATGACAGCGGTGAGTGATGGCGATTGGGAATGACAAGTCAGTGGCTGACAGCGCATCATCTGCTGCTGATCTTCAATAAAACTGCAGAAAAAAGATCTGGTAAACCGCGAAGCACACGGGCATCTCCCTCCCACTCGCACAGCTGCCAAACTAAGCAGAGACACCACTGCTAAGCAGAGAGCGCACTGAACAGAGAGCGCAGTTGCACTTGGCCAAATCAATTCCAGTAATTAAATGAAAGAATAATACATTTACTCGGACAAATCGCGAGCCACCATTAACGAGCCACTTTGGGTCGTGACCCATACTTTAAGAAAGGCTGCGCTAGGCTGTCTCAACGTGAGTGAGCAGTACTACGCTGCTTCCTTTAGTCCATCACAGTGTGCAGTCTCACCGTGGTCAATGGGGTATGCCTTGAGGCCGTCTAGCTCAAACAGGCGGTCTTTGATGGGCACGTAGCTGACAAAGTGGAACGCTTCCATGGTCCGCACGGCACTAATCCCATTCTGCTTCTCCGGCAGGTGCCTGGGCTCCGGTCTCCATGGAAACAAGAGAAGGAAGAGGAGTAAGAATCATTCATGGGTGGCAGAGTCACATTTGTACAAATCAGGGTTGTATTCATTAGTGCACACCGTAGCAAAAATGTTTTGCAACAGAAAATGAAAACAACTGTTTCTAATTGATCAATTTCAGGTAGGTTACTCCCTGTTTCAGCCTGTTTATTTTCATTGTGCCTACTGAATAAAACCTAGTGGTAGGAAGGGAGGGACATATGCAGCAGCGCCTCCTACCTGGCATGGCTGTTGTGTGCTTTGGCCAGCTCTGGGGCATTTCCAATGGCGTAGCCTTTACTCTGAAAGAACATGAAAGAAAGCGATGTAAAATTTGATTATAATCCTAACACCACAGCAGAAATAGGAGAGAGGTAGGTGTGTGTGTGTGTGTGTGTCCTCACCTCTGGTCCGAAGCCTTTAGTGAAGGTCTTCATGCGGCTGAGGGTAGTGCCCAACTCAACCCCACTACAGTTGAGGAGCACGCTCAGAAGTGCATGGGTGGCGCAGGAGTTGGGGATCAGCTGGGCACAGAAATAATAACAGTGTAAAGGAACTCAATGAACTCAAAAGAAAAACAATGCCTTCCTATGACACAGTAGGAAATGATGGAATGCACCACATTCTGACAACAATATAGCCTCCATGCATGCAAATCACTATTACTGCAAACTGACTGCCCTGAACCTTATAGTCAAGGATTAAAACAGACTCACCTGGTGGGCAAAGAACATGTCATTAACAATGTCATCATCAATGACAGAGGTCTCATCCACCAAGGTGGAGACTTTCCTCCTAGACCTTCGCTCCTCAATCCACTTGAACAGGAAGATGAAGCCATAGACAGGGCTGGGTGGGGGGACAGGAATCAAGAACATCAGAAAGCTGTCCACATATTTGGGTTTATACACTAGTAGGCCTAGGCTATATATACAGTGGGCTTATAATAGTGATGCTTTCAGAGTTTGTGACACAGTGACAGTGGCTTGATGATCATTGCTCCATACCTTGGACACTTGCTTTGTAGGTCATATATCTCCTCCACCTGAACCCCCTTCACACCTACATTACAAACACATATGCAAAATACACAAAGGGATGCTCAAACTATGTGCTGCTTATCCAGTACAGGTTTACTTTATCAACCAACCAGTCAAATCAACTCACCAAAATCCTCCACCAAGAGCGTGAATAGCCCTGCACACACCATAAGAAAACACACGTTAATTGAAAATGTAACACAATGGCATCGGTCATACAAACAGAGACATTGTAGGTAATTCCTCCTGCTGGTGCAACTAACGTTAATGAACAATGTACTAGCTAACTAGTGTGGAATTGATATATTACAAGCTACAGTAACTATCTATAGCCCTGCGCATCAATCTATATAACGTTTTTTGCTACTAAACGTATTAATGTGTTTACTGGCAGTAAAACATATTGAGATGATCAAACATTCTGATTGCAGATTAGATTATATCTGACAAAGAATTGTTCGCTAACATTCGCAGCTAACGCGTTAGCTTCTTACCCGGGTCACTCTCGAGTTCCAGCCACCCTTTGTTCATTTTTGCATGTAATTACAGTCCATCGACTTTTGGCTAAGTACTCCGCCAGTCCATCGTCACAGAAACACTACAAAAGTTTTACCCAATTAGCTAACGGAACGAAGACAAATTCACTTCTAAAACGTCGCAGTTGAGAGATAAACACAAAAGAACGACAGCTTGGACGCTTTAATTTTACGTCATTTAGGTGCGACTTCGATAGAGTCGCATTCAAGACTACTCCAGCAGATGGCGCCATACTTTGTCGTGATGAACAATTACAAGCTCTAATTCCTATGCTATTAACTAAATTATTTAGTGTTGCCGAGTACAGCATAAACTAAAATCAAATATGAATTTTGGGCCTTTCCTGATAGCAGTTTTGGGCTGCTTTTAAACAGTTTGAGTCATTCGAGTGTGCCTCCGGAACTGAGTTCTAGCGAGTTGTTTTTACATCCGTGCAGGGGGACATTGTTACTGTTACCCTTGAAGAAACCGTGAGGGGAAATTAAAAGAAATACAGTTAGTAAAAAAAAAAAAATGTATTAATCATAAACATATCATCAATTCGATTTCCTAAGGGAATGCAAAACGTAAGTACATCGTTTGCCAACTTTTTGATTCGAACTTAATTTTTGTTTCAGTCTAACAATGTTACATAATGGCTTTCTTGATTAGCCATCCTCTGGACAATAGACGTTGGCTGAAAACAGCGATTGTATGGTAACATTACGCTAGTTCACTAACAACAACAAGCTAGCTAGCTGCTCAATCACGCACGCACGAGCTAGCTAACGTTAGCTGGCTGTATTTGGTACGACTTGTTTGTAAAATTTTATGGAAATCGTTAAACGTTAGCTAACTAATTGTGAGAAATTACCTAAGCTAACTAGCGTAAAATACATTGTCTTGGCTTGTGATCTGTTTATAGCCAGACATGTGCTAACGACGTTAGCTAGCTACCTACAATATATCTTAGCAATATTTCATCTCAGATTTGCGTTTAATAAGCCAACATCTCACTATCCAGCTAGTTAGCGTGCTAATAACAGTAGCTATTATGTTGATGTTTGCGAGTTAATAATGACATATCTGACGATGGGCACAAGGTAGAAAACAACAAGTAAGCCAGCTAGGTATTTTCTAATGATGTGCCCCCATTCTACCTAGTTAGCTACCTGTTTATGGTTGCACGTTATGGCTACCTACAGAAGCTAGAGTTGGTTATTATCTCTTGCATTTAGCATTTTATGTAACACACTGCAGTATAATTGCTCAATATTGTGTGTGTGAGAGAGAGAGAGAGGGGGAGTGAGTGACAGTCAGAGTTTAATGTTGGCATCCAGATTATAGTGATTTGCAGGAATATTGACATTGTTGTTTGGAATCTCAGATAGTTCAGGAATATGTATTTTCCATTTTAATGTGGTACAATACCAAAAATGTGATATCTCTTTTTTTTTCTCCTAAATTCAAGTAACACAAAACTATCACGCCAAGGTGCAACAACATCTTTATGTCCTATGACTTGACACATTGAAATGTCAACAGAATGTAAAAATATACAGGGGTTGATATTGATTTGCCATGGGGATCATAGACTGTAGTTTTGATATGCAGGTGTGAGTGGGGGAGAAGAGGTATATAATCCACGTGCTGCTCAGTGTAGTGGTCATACAGTTAATATTTTATCAGCAGCTGTGCAGGGGTGTGTAAATATTTGATGCTGGACATGCACGTGGGTCGTTCCATGTCATTTCAGCAAGCCATGACACCCACCATCTCAGATTGCTCTGAAATCGTTTCTGTAGTTAGAAACAGATTAGATTACCATTCCTGCAACATTATTTTGTTGAAATATTTTTATCTCTGAGAAATTAAGCTAATTGGCCATTTAAATTTATAGGATTCATATAATAATCAATAAATATAGTACCTAATATCCGATTTGGACCTAACTTTTTTCTAACAGTGAATAAGACATGAGGTATCCAAACAAATGGTCAAACACCACCCACAGACCCTTTCCTTACCATGTAAGCAGTCTCTGGACAAGGCTGTATTTCCGCTGCAGTCATTTATATGTGGTGCTGAGCCACGGCAAAATCGCCACCATGCCCAAAAAATATGGAACATGAAAAAATATTTTTACCAAGGTGCACTTTGAAGATGATAAAACAGTCCACATTAAATGTTCCTCTGCAAACAAAACGACTAATGAATAGAAACTATCTACTATGGGGTCTATCTATCTATATCTGATTTATCTATTTACCTAGTTGGCTCGGATTCCAGCTTTCCATTCCTACTTTATTTATTTCTCAACTCCTGTGTTGAGTTTTTACCAGCGGCAACCTTAGGGTAAACCACCACCCAACCTCAAAATAATTTTTGGTGAGTGACTTGACTTAAATTGTGATGAGACAGATTACAATTTTTAGTTGAGCAAGAGTAGTGGCAACCAGGGAAAGTGTTGGAGGGAAAAATGGTGACGTGAAGTGGTTTCTGTGACAAGTACAGACGTGGCGTATTGCCCCAAGTTATCCTAACAGATAGGCCTACATTATATTCACTGTGTTTACGTTTTTTGGGACATACAATTCATCAGTAGGATGCTAACTAATTAAAGTACATCATTTGGAATCTAGCTAAGGATTAGCCCAATAAGGTAAATACAGATAGGCATGGGGTTGCCTACTGTATTTGTTTATAGCCACTATGCTTCATCAGTTGAGCCTCAGGTAATTATGCTTATTGCTAATAGCATACCTGATAATATAAACCATACATAGGCTATATGCATGGACCAATATTAAAAAATCATTTTAACAGATAATTTTACTGATATGTTATTGGACTCATTTCTGGAGGTGGAAATTATATTTTAAATGGTGTCAGCATAATTTTATTTTAATTCAATTTGGATTAGTAAATCACCAGAACTGAGCCTCTCAGACATTCTACATAGAAATGATCCACGACCTTTTCCCCCACTGCTACACATTTTTCCAGAGGAAACACTGGGACAAGGTCTGACAGCAACCCATGCTTTGGTTTTGTTTACCTGGCTAACGTTTCAGCATTTATGGCACATCCACATAGGTACCATTGGGAACTTGTTTGTCTGCCCAATATTAAAGATAAAAATTGGCTGGGAAAAAATGGCATAAATCAAAATATATACCAGTTCCATTTGAGGACAAAAATGCTGACGGCTGCGCCACACAGGTTACAAAAAGGCTGTGAAGACTTCTTCGATGTTCCGATCCCATGGCACTGGGTTTATGAACTGATATACAAAACAACGATTGATTAAAAAAATGTTTTTACATTTTGAATTATTATACAAAATTCTTGCTACCAACAAAATATTATATATATATATATATATATATATATGCAGTGCATTCGGAAAGTATTCAGACCCCTTGACTTTTTCCACATTTTGTTACATTACAGCCTTATTCTAAAATGGATTAAATTGTTTTTTCCCCTCATCAATCTGCACACAATACCACATAATGACAAAGCAAAAACAGGTTTTTAGACATTTTAGCAAATGTAGTAAAAAAAAAAAAAGAAGAAATATCTCATGTACATTAGTATTCTGACCCTTTACGTTTTTTGTATTTTTTAGTTTTGTTATTTTTTTGCCCCTTTTTCTCTCCAAATTCGTGGGATCCAATTGGTAGTTAGTCTTTTCCCATCGCTGCAACGAGCCGTGCATCCTCCGAAACACAACTCAAAATGTGAAAACTCCAATGTGTTGGAGGAAACACAGTACACCTGGCGACCGTGTCAGCGTGCACAGCACCTGGCCCGCCACAGGAGTCACTAGTGTGCGATGGGACAAGAACATCCCTGCCGGCCAAACCCTCCTCTAACCTGGACGACGCTGTGCCCCATGGGTCTCCCGGTCGCGGCCGGCTGCGACAGAGCCTGGACTCGAACCAGGATCTCTAGTGGCACAGCCACTGCGCCTCTCGGGAGGCTACTCAGTACATTGTTGAAGCACCTTTGGCAGCGATTACAGCCTCGAGTCTTCTTGGGTATGTTGCTACAAGCTTGGCACACCTGTATATGGGGAGTTTTCTCCCATTCTTCTCTGCAGATCCTCTCAAGCTCTGTCAGGTTGGATGGGGAGCGTCGCTGCACAGCTATTTTCAGGTCTCTCCAGAGATGTTCGATCGGGTTCAAGTCCGGGCTCTGGCTGGGCCACTCAAGGACATTCAGAGAATTGTCCTGAAGCCACTCCTGTGTTGTCTTGGCTGTGTGCTTAGGGTCGTTGTTCTATTGGAAGGTGAACCTTCGCCCCAGTCTGAGGTCCTGAGCTCTCTGGAGCAGGTTTTCATCAAGGATCTCTCTGTACTTTACTCCGTTCATCTTTCCCTCGATCCTGACTAGTCTCCCAGTCCCTGCCGCTAAAAAACATCCCCACAGCATGATGCTGCCACCACCATGCTTCACCGTAGGGATGTTGCCAGGTTTCCTCCAGACGTGACGCTTGGCATTCAGGCCAAAGAGTTCAATCTTGGTTTCATCAGACCAGAGAATCTTGTTTCTCATGGTCTGAGTCCTTTTGGCAAACTCTAAGCGGACTGTCGTGCCTTTTACTGAGGAGTGGCTTCCGTCTAGCCACTCTACCATAAAAGCCTGATTTGTGGAGTGCTGCAGAGATGGTTGTCCTTATGGAAGATTCTCCCATCTCCACAGAGGAACTCTGGAGCTCTGTCAGAGTGACCATCTTGTACGGCAGATAGCTTAGTGGGTAAGAGCGTTGTGCCAGTAACCGAAAGGTCACTGGTTCTAATCCCCGAGCCGACTAGGTGAAAAATCTGTCTGTGCCCTTAAGCAAGGCACTTAACCCTAATTGCTCATGTAAGTCGCTCTGGATAAGAGCGTCTGCTAAATGACTAAAATGTAAATGTAAATGTTCTTGGTTATCTCCCTGACCAAGGCCCATCTCCCCCGTTTGCTCAGTTTGGTCGGGCGGCCAGCTCTAGGAAGAGTCTTGGTGGTTCCAAACTTCTTCCATATAAGAATGATGGAGGCCACTGTATTCTTGGGGACCTTCAATGCTGCAGACATTTTTTGTACCCTTCCCCAGATCTGTGCCTCGACACAATCCTCATGGCTTGGTTTTTGCTCTGACATGCACTGTCAACTGTGGGACCTTGAATAGACAGATGTGTGCCTTTCCAAATCATGTCCAATCAATTGA